ACATTCCTTCCCTTTATTAATGCTAACCCTACTCCCTCCCTTTGATGCTGCTAATCCTGCATAATGCACGTACATATTATGACTTTGAAACCCCCCGCCCACCTCCTATGCATTCCACAAGTAATGACTAATCCCATATCTTCATTTCCTATAAATATGCTAAATTCCTCTTGATATGCGAATTATTTTGTCAAGGTGCTCTTCCCCCTCCAACCAGCTTAAATATACGCTCCAAGCCTGGTGGTGTTTCATTCAGACGCTGTCTTTCCGACAGACCTGTTCTTCACCTGAGGACGGCTGCTTGCGTTGTGGCCGAAACGTCGTGAGAATAATTTTATTATGATTTATTTTTATTATTTTATTATTTACCTTCTACGTGACTTTACCGACAGAACCAAGAAGATGAATCCCTGCAGTCACGAAAGCTTTAAAACAACAAAATAAGTTTCAATTTGCTGAACGACCGCTCACAACTTGAAATTGAAACTGCTATTGTTAATAAAATTTGCAGTGAAATTTGCAAATTCGGAAATATGTCGTCTCCATAAAACACAATAAAACAGTCCCTCCAGAAAAACGCGGAGTTTTTTGGTGATTGTTGCGGGCAAAAATCGTTGATTATGCGGCACGTTTTCTTAAAAAATGCGATGGAATATGCGGGATATTTATGCAATTTTATGCGATTAAATTGCGGGAACTTGCAAAAACTGCGGTTTGATGAAAAAGAGAAAAAAAAGTGATTCCCCCAACACCCTATTCACTAGGCTACTACTTTAATGTAAAGAGTCATTTCTTATTACTTCCTATGATAAGCAAGCATACTACATCACAGAAAGTGCTGGGAATATTTAAGTTCTCATCTTGTTTTATTTCAGACCTTAACAAACAGATGGCTCAAACTTACAAAACATTGAGTCGAACAAGTTCTGTAGCTTTACAAAATGAATATGCTACAACTTCTGTAAAAATGAATAAATAAAATATTAAAAAATAAAATGCGTGCTTCCTGTTTTATAGAGGTAGCTATACAAAACAGACATCTTCTGTTAAAATAAGTGTTTTCAGTGCACAGTAACGTAAGCAATACAGTAACAGTACAGTCTTACAGTAATGTAAATTTACATACTACTAACAAAAAAGTGCAATCTTACAACTGTAAAGTTGCATAAACTCCTGAATAAAACTAACTACGTAGCCTCTAACACTTCATAACGTTCCCATGGCAACAGGGGAAATGGCTGCGCTTGTGTGAAGTAAACGCAACATTTTTCAACTTTCTGCTAAGATATATGTGACTTTTTGCAACGAAAATGCGGGGATTATGAAATCATGCAAGCCCGCATATTTTGCGCGCGGAAATCTGCAATTTATGCGGCAAAAGTGCGGCGTATTTGAAAAAACGCGCCCCCCGCATAAATATGCGGACTTTGGCTGATTTTGCGTGGAATCTTGCGATCGCATAATCGCGTTTTTCTGGAGGGACTGATAAAACCAAGAAGATCCAAAGGAGTTTTTGGTAGAATTTCATTCCGGTTACTGAGCAGCATTTTGCAATCTCCAATTTCTGTGAAAAGTTCGTGGCCATTGATGTTTTGTGTTCAGGTCTTTTAGTCGTAAAAACCTGTATGCGCTTCTGAACACGATCAATTTTCACAAGAATGACATTCCAGAAATGTAATAAAACTATGAAGTTAAAATTTAATATGCATGTCTGTAACTGTTCTGCATCACTTCTGGTTTCAGGCGTCATAGTTGCAGCCCTACTATTTCATCCAGTCCTTCATAGATAGCTTTAACAGCTTCTGATCGTGCACTCCAGCGAGTTTCAGGCCGTTGTAGTTTCTGCCACCAAAAATCAGGCCAGTGACTAAGGCTGAAAGACTGCGCCTGTCTGTTGTTTGGGACGTTCTTCCATGTAAGTTCTTAATAGGCGCGCGTACCAAAATGTAATTACATGACATGTAGGCTGTGTGGTGGGATATATAAACTTTTAGGTTGAGGTGTAGATTTGTGCAGTAGTTTCAGGCTGCCGCGCCCCCCGCAATAAGTTACAATGTAACGTTGTAAGCCTCATTTTGGCGCCCCTTTATCTTGGCGCCCGGGGACATATGTACCCCCCTGCCCCCCCTAGCTACGCCTCTGGCCCTGCAATCGACCAAGGATGGCGAGGCTTGCCGAGTAGTGATGTGTCACCAAGTACGAGTTCGGCGCTGACAGATGGAGTATCGTTCAAAGTTATTCTACAATGAGTACCAGCTCCCACCCGGCAGCTGCACGATCAAGGAGAGAGCAAGAGAACAAGAGAGAAATAGTGGACGAGCGGCGAGCGCGATCGAGCAACTTCAAAGACAAGCGTCGTGCCGACTCAGCTCATCCAGCAGTGAAAGGAGCCTGCAGCTGCTGCCTCAAAGAGAGAGCGAGGAAGCTGTTTGTATGACACGCTAACACTCACACACCTACAACGCTTCACCCGGCGTCTGCTTAACGCAAAGAGTTGAACAAGGAGACAAAACCACCAAGACACACATAACGCAGATATCGGGGCTAATAATAAGAAGACTAATAATAAGAGTGCGTCAACTATTAGCTGATCATGAAGAACATTGCTGCCCATTGAGTTACGTGGATATGGACGTTTAGAAGTATTTTAGTCATTATTTTTGTTAATTGCATTACTGTACCAATGAATTCATTGATGAAACTAAACATTTAGACACATCTATGTTACGAATCTACACACTCACAGGGAGACTATGGTGTTAAAATATCTCTTTTGATCACATAATCTTGCCCGCGAATTTATTGAAGCCTAAGCAAATTGATAAGCATTTGCTGAAGCAGGCACACTGCCGCACACTATTGTTCCAAGACATTTCGTTCATTGCATAATCTTACCAATTAATTCATTGAGGTCTACCTTTGCCTTTGGGACATGTTTCTTTATTGCCGTTCGTATGAATATCGTCACATTCATTTTTAAGGATTTTTTACTATCGTCGTATATGCTTGCGTTACTCCGAGGAATTAACTGATTGTTCTGTCACCCATTTTAATAAACGTAATCATTGAGGGTTAAATGTACGGATCAATGAGGAGAACATCTCCAGGAGTACTGTGTTAACAATTCCAAGCATAAGAGTGCATATTAGAGCGTTATGTTTTTTTGTTTAGAGATTAAAGTTGCTTAACACAGACGTGTCTGAGTGGTGCCTTCCTAAGTTCATACGTAATAATCTCAATCATGAGAACTGTATCCTGCGGTGAAATTTGAATTTTAAGACCTGACATAAAAATACTAAGACATAATCAGTAAATGTTAAAGCGAAAATAATTGTATTATCCCGATTGATAATACAACCCTAGACAACGAAGCCGAGTTTAATTTAGCATAATTAGATCACACTTGCACAACTTCATACAACTCATTGTATTATCCCGATTGATAATACGCCACTGGACAACAAGGCTGAGCGCAAATATCATAACTGCATATATTAGCATAATCGCATACATTAACATAACCTGAACAATAACGCCTTCCTAATCAGCATAAAGTATGTACATTCACATAATTACGCATTTGTTTGTTTGTTTCCTTTTTATTTATTTTTTAAATGTTTCAAGACCCGACATATACAACAACAGGCAACAGGAAATACAAACAGGTTTGTTTGTATCTCTGAAAGTTTGTAAGTCAAATGTTCATGAGTAAAGGAGTGCCTGTAGTAATATTTGTTATCGCTTCATTCAAATATCCCTCTTTTATAGCAACTAGAAAGCAAATTAAAACCCTGCAGGAAAAAAAAATAAACACAAAACATGAAGATAAAAATATATAACCAAAACAATAGTCGCAAATGACAAAAAAGTGATCACAATTGAGAAGTGAGTCAATTCTCACAACCGGGCCAGGAAACCTTCACGGGCGGGAGGCTGGCGGCGACGGTGGTGGTGGAGTGGTCCAAAAAGTTACTACTTGTTGAGACCGATCACTCACGATTGTCCAAAAACGTTATGTTCCTAATCAATTGGTGTATATATCTCCGGATGAAGAGGTGCCGGGGCACACCTATGGGGGGTGTTGCAGGTATGTGTGGCAGTATTATGCGATGTATAGAGGTCCAGTCAGACATAAGGGGGGACCCGAATGAAAACGTAAACAAGTGTAACACGTAGGCTTTCGTGACCAATATCACCCTTAAAACAGATTTCCTTTTGGGGTTAGATCGCATAAATATATAAATATGTCGTTAAACCCGCCACCACCCAACACAGGCAATTAGTAAGGTTTGTCACGTAAACAGAACATGCCAATTCGTTACTTATGCAGCACACCGATGCGTTGGAGAGCAATAACACAACATTTACAATCTGAGTATGACGTTTCACCAGTAATTATAACTAGCTTCATCAGGCGACAGCCAGATTGCAGAGAAGTCCTCCTGTTTCCTTCCTTGAAGCTCACTAAAACCTTCTGCTTTCATTTATGCGATCTAACCTTGTATTATGGAAGAAAACAAGTACAAACACTCCTTAACATACACGATAGACGGGTTCCTGGAAAAACGCGCATATCTGAAAATCGCTAATGTCAAAAGCTATTTTCCCATAAAAAATAATGGTAAAGGAGAGGGTCAGGAGATTTCACTCACACTCGCAGACACAATCACCTCTATTATCCTAACCTATATCAACAGGGTTTTGGTAATTACAAGCCCATAGGCTGCACATAAATGTAGCAGCCTCCTAGCATTGTTACTGAGCTAATCTGGCCCATACTTTCTAAAAACTCCAGCTCACGTATCAGTGTCATCAGTCAGTTAGACTTTCAACACACCCAACAACATGACTATGCCGAGGGGCAACTTAAGCTAGCACCTGTGACACGAGGTCACGAAAGGCATCTGACTATACATACATACACACCTTGACACACACACAGACACAAACTCACATTTGGGTGGGGTTTGTCGTTGGATCCTCTATATAAAGGGGTATCGCTCTCTGGTCTAGAACCATCAGGGAAGCTCCACACCACCTCTTCCTCCTCATCCTCGACACCTTAAGCCAGAGAAGTTCCGCGCAGTCCACCTCCTCCTCGAAGCAGCAATGTCGGTGCGTATGTTCGAGGGCACTGAACATGCCTGCCTGTACAAGCGCTACCGGCCCACCCTGTCGGCAGATGTCTTGAAAACTTTGACGGACTACGTGTGGGAAAAGGTACGTGAGTATTATGTGTGTGTGCTACAGGCTGCGTGTGCGAGTTGCTTTATTGTCAGATGGTGTATGTGTGTGTGGTGCATGCTGTATGTGTTTTGTGCATAAATTATATTCTTGCGTTTGCCAGCAATCCGTTCAGGAGCTGATTGGCAATTTCGAGATATGCTGGTCAACCACGTGGTTTAGCTTTTCCCCCTTCGTTAGAGAAGTGCAGACCTCACCTGGTATACACAAGGTCGTCTTTTCGATCCCGACTCTGACGCTTGCTGCATATTTGGAATTTGCATGTCTGTCTCCCTGAGGTCGCGTGTATTTTTCTCCAGGTCCTCTGTTTTTTTCCTCCACATTTAGAAACATGCATTGGCTGCTTTAAATTTCCACATGGTAAGCCACTTCTTTGAGCTATCATTTGTGATGACCAGGTCGGGTCTGAAAAAGAGCCACATCGCTCAGTGGTGGGGCCTTAGCTGCCAAAATAAAAATCGAACATTTTCAATCCATATGGTAACCTAGAAAGATATTTAAAGAAACTTTTTAAACTCATTGATCGTAAACAATGTGGGTTCCAAGCGTAACCAGCGAGCGCGAATAAATTATGTCAAACATGCAGAGCGTCCCTTGATTTATTTTATTATTATTACACGCTTTTATTTAACTCACTCTGTTGTTGTTGTCGTATACTCAAATCCTGCAACTCAATTTTAACCCACTTCCCAATGTGGTATCGACTGCAAACTTCGCATACTTATGTCTTACTGATGACAATCCTATATGCTATCATAAAAAATAAACAAATTTAAACAATCTTTTTACACGCTTTCTATTAACTCACTCTGTCCGTTGTTGTCGTATCCTCAAATCTTGTAAATAAATTTTAAAGTATTTTTTAATATTACTTATTCGCTTGCAGTTACTTAACGAACACTGGTGGTGAGACAAGGCCATATAAAAGGATGTGTCTGCTGTACGCCAATCCGTTTCGAAGACAATGCACATATATTATCAGAGCATGTTTGTTTGCATGTTTTGTCACAAGTACGTGTGGTTAATGCAGACTTGATGCCTTGCAATACTGTGTATCATCTATTTGTTGTTTGGACATCTTAACAGAACTGTTTTAGTATTGACAAAAAGGGTTATGAAGCCATGAAACCCATTCTTACATATCTTTTCATCATCACGTGAAATGTATGAGCGTGCTTTTTTTTACACAATCCACCAAAACGGATGCATATCTTTTTCAATGTAAATTTCCATAAGATCAGAATGGACACTTTAGCGAGGCATTCCTCAGGGCAGAGAGGAGAGTCGGAGACGAGCTCAGGGCAGCCCCGTCGGGTTGGGACAGGGAGTTATGTAATAGTTGACGTTTTGGGCAATAGGTCTTCCTCAGGAGGTACAAGAAAGTTGGATCAAAATTTAACATGCAGATGTGTCCATTAAAAGGTTTTGGGTTAGATTGCTAAATATACATCTATTCTGTTCAGGTATGGCAGAAACTGTTAAATAAAAGAGCATTTACTGAAAGAAAACGCACACTAACGCAGTCACACCATCACCCACCGCAGAAATCCTCTCTCAACAAGGCACTCAAACATCGGGCTAAGAATGTGTCAAATGGTAAAAGTCTGAGGAGTGAGATAAAACGTGTTAAAGAAGTGCTGCAATTAACGGTTTCAATGATGCACAGGAAAGGGCACTGAATGCCCAAACCAAATGAAATAGAACAAACATTAAAACTGATCAAGCAGTTAAAGGTATGACTGTATTAAAATACCGTACAATCTGGGAGGAACTGATAAACATCTGAGTGAGATTTTAATTATACATATGTATATATATGAATAGCGTGGGGTGCGGTGGTGTAGTGGTTAGCGCGCTGCGCTACCAACCCCGGCGGCCACGGGTTCGATTACCGCTCATGGCTAACAACAGTGACAATTATCTAAACCGGTTCTGGGCCTACCCATAGGTCGACTCATCCTCAAATGAGTTGTACCTAGGGTGCTGTTTGTAGTAAACGTCGCCACTTGAGAGACAAAGGAGGCCGGGTGTAGTGTCGGCCACCCAACCCTTCTTGTGCCATGCGAGCCTTCACAGGTGCTGCTTGCTAACAGCACCTGCCCGAACAGTTTTATGAGATGCAAATTGCATCTCTCAATCGCTTACAATAAACATCGCGACACGTTTAGAGGGTATTTGGCTGCTGCTATGAATTTCCACACGACGATGATAGTCCCACTTCGTTGAGCTATAATTTATGATGGCCAGGTCGGTTCTGAAAAAAAGAGTTACATAGCTCTGTTGGCCTTACATGGTAAACTAAAAATAGTTGAATAGTTTAGTTTGTGTACCACTGCTACAAAGCAGCAGCAGCAAACTATGTATTTAAAAAAGTGTTTCACGGAACCAATACCTATCCACAATCCTCTACTTTGGCACTTGCCCTATCTCACTCGGCAAATACGATCCGCCCCCTCCAGCGGTGATGCAGTGATACTCCCCCACCCACCACCTCGCCCGCCAAACGCCTGCGACACTCACACTCTGCTCATTAGCCCGATTTAGAACCCAGAAGTGACAGTTCCCGCGGTTCTCTACAAAAACAGCGCGCCAAAACAACCACCACCAGACTCCCGTAATTGTTCATTTGTATACTTGAAATTGAAATGTAACGATAAACTTTATATAAGCCTGCGAGAGGTGGGGCTGGGAGGGGTGAGGTGGGGCCGCGAGGGGTGATATGGGGTTGAGAGAGGTGAGGTGGGGTTGAGAGGGGTGAGGTGGGGTTTGAGAGTGGTAAGGTGGGACCGATAGGGGTGAAACACTTGCGGGGTTGGCCTCACTTCGAACACAGCACTCGCCACAGGAACGGCGACATCAGCTGAGGGCCGGGGGGTGAATTGTTTGACTGAGGAGTGGCGAATTTAAGTTACGAAGTTGATTTTTTTTAAACGAAAGCGGCAAATAAGCTACGCGGAAAGTTTAAGGTCCGCTTGTGGGTGTGTTGGTGTAGGTGTGTTGGTGTGGCTGTATGGGTGTGTTGGTGTGGGAGTGGGTGTGTTGGTGTGGGTGTGTTGGTGTGTTGGTGTGGGTGTGTTGGTGTGTGGTGTGTTGGTGTGGGTGTGTTGGTGTGGGTGTGTTGGTGTGAGTGCGTTGTTGTGGGTGTGTTGGTGTGGTTGTGTTGGTGTGGTTGTGTTGGTGCGGGTGTGTTGGTGCGGGTGTGTTGGTGTGGGTGTGTTGGTGTGGGTGCGTTGTTGTGGTTGTGTTGGTGTGGGTGTGTGGGGGTGTTGGTGTGTGGGTGTGTTGGTGTGGGTGTGTGGGTGTGTTGGTGTGGGTGTGTGGGGGTGTTGGTGTGTGGGTGTGTTGGTGTGGGTGTGTGGGTGTGTTGGTGTGGGTGTGTGGGTGTGTGTGTGTGGGTTGGTGTGGGTGCGTTGTTGTGGGTGCGTTGGTGTGGTTGTGTTGGTATGGTTGTGTTGGTGTGGGTGTGTTGGTGTGGGTGTGTGGGTGTGTTGGTGTGGGTGTGTTGGTGTGGGTGTGTGGGTGTGTGTGTGTGGGTTGGTGTGGGTGCGTTATTGTGGGTGCGTTGGTGTGGTTGTGTTGGTATGGTTGTGTTGGTGTGGGTGTGTTGGTGTGGGTGTGTGGGTGTGTTGGTGTGGGTGTGTTGGTGTGGGTGTGTTGGTGTGTTGGTGTGGGTGAGTTGGGGTGGGTGTGTTGGTGTGTTGGTGTGGGGGTGTTGGTGTGGGTGTGTTGGAGTGGGTGTGTTGGTGTGGGTGTGTTGGTGTGTGGGTGTGTTGGTGTGGTTGTGTGGGTGTGTTGGTGTGGGTGTGTTGGTGTGGGTGTGTTGGTGTGGGTGTGTTGGTGTGGGGGTGTTGGTGTGTGGGTGAGAATTATCATTTGGAGAGGGAGATTAAGGAATCGGCGGTGGGAGTTCATTACCACCACCATCATCACCACCACCATCACCACCACCAACATAATTACCACCATCATCACCACGACCATAACCACCACGACCATCACCACCACCACCACACGCAGCTCAGCCTTGATGGAGTGGAGTACGAGTGTAAGTGGTTGTCCACAGTTACCGACCTTTATATGTGACAGAATAACTAAGCCCTTTATTGAAGACAATGGGGCCCACGCAGCATTCAGTAAATAGTACCCTGGGTGTGTAAACATGAGCGGTTGGGATACAAAGGCGGCCGGGCGGCCTTGGTGTAGGTCACCCATACCTTCATGTGCCATGAAGGGATGGTGATACTCGCTACTAACAGCACTTGCCCCTACAGCCTGTTCCATGCTATACGTGGGATTTTTGTCTTTCTCGGGGATGAGTGGCGGTGCAGCGGTTAGCGTTACGCTGCGCTACGATACAGCGGCCAAGACCCGAGTTCGATTCCCGGCTTACGGCAACCAACACCAGTGGTAGCGATTATCCGAACCGGTCTTGGGCCTCTCCCCTTAGGTCGACTGAGCCTTAAATTAGTTACCTGGTGTGAGTGTGTAACCATCTCCACTGGAAGAGACAAAGGTGGCCGGTCGTAGTGCTGGCTCGACGCACCTCCCATAGATATAACTATAAAACTTTTTTTTATTTCACCAGGTAAGACACACTGAGCTATGTAGCTTTTTTTTTAGAAGCGACCTGGCCACAAATGATAGCTCAACGAAGTGGGCCTATCATCATTTGGATATTTATAGCAGCGGCCAAATAACTCTGACCGCGTGATGTTCATTCTAAATGTGGAGGATAAAACCCTGAGGACACGGATAAAAATCCACACGACCACCGAGAGAGAGACGCAAATTCCAAATACACAGTAGTCGTCGAGGTCGGAATCGAACCAACGACCTCCTGCATACCAGGCGAGGTAGTTAACATCTCCTAGCCACGGTAATTATGAGAGAGACCGACAAACTCCAAATATACAGGAAGATTCCAGGCACGTGTGGACAATGATGGCGAACTTGCCGATACTCTTTGACTTTTTGAA